AGCTAGTGGTCAGGGAGACAACGACCGCCGTTGTTCAGTTATCCGATATTTGACAAGCTGGCATCTCTCTCCACCAAGCGCACCGCGCAATCGGCCTGGGAGGGGATCAAATCCCGTCGGGTCGGATGTGGTGTACAGCGAGTGTGGGAACCACCATCGAGCAGCTGTGCGGAAGGAGCTCTCGGATATCCGCTTTTAAGGATAAGGATTGGCGAATCCGTCGATGATTTTTCAATGCGGATCACGAGACTCCGCCTGAGACTCCGCCAATAGCATCAATCGAGACATTGCTAACCACCTAATGGTGGAAGAGGTGACCGGAAGACTGCATAATGTCGAGCAGCGGAAGAAAAATACCATTTCAGCTGTCGACAAGGAGGGTCGTCTACTCCTCACTGAGGAGGAATGGCTTGCACGCCTAAAGCTCCATGACGACACCAGCGAAAGCAATGGGCCCTCCAGTCGCAAAGGCGGTAAGAAGTCGTGGAAATCTTGCCGGCGCATGCACGGGAAAGATGCGGATCAAAAGAAGGAGGAGCCGACTGATGACGGGCCAATCGAGTGCTCATACTGTGGGAAGAGAGGTCACTTGAGCAAGAATTGCTGGAACAAGCTCAAGAACAAGGAGTCGATCGAGATGGCCCATGTGGCTCAATCTGAGGAGGATGAGTCGGCCCTTTTCATGGTGACTGCATCAGTCCTACCTCTGACGTCCCTAATCCCGAGGAAGAGCTCCCCAAATCCACAGAGGTAATCGACGACGGCATAACTTTGCTCCGGTGAGCGTCGAACCCGAGGAAGAGCTCCAACTGTGCATAACAAATGCACCGGCTGGGGAGCCAGTTCAACTGAAGGAGGAGCGAGTGCTCGCTCAAATCGGTGAAAGAGGCGAGCAGCAAGAGCATCGGCGATGGGTCCTCGACACTGGGGGCAACAAACCATATGACTGGGGCCAAGTCTACGTTCTCCGAGTTTGACTCGTGGATTCGCGGGACGGTGAAATTCGGCGACGGCTCCGTTGTCAAGATCGAAGGGCACGGCACCATCCTGTTCGTCGGCAAGGGAGGCAATCATCACAAGCTGACCGGCGTCTACTTCATCCCGAGACTCAAGGCTAATATTGTGAGCCTGGGTCAACTCGATAAGACCGGCTGCCACATTTCCATCAAGCGCGGGCTACTTAGGATCTGCGATGATCGACGACGGTTGCTCACGCAAGTTCGGTGTATGGCAAACCGCCTTTACATCCTAAAGCTAGAGATAGAGCAACCAGTCAACCTCTCGGCCAGGTACCGAAAGATGGAAGACCTATTAGGAAGAGGTGAACCACCTGGACTGGCGGCGCGCCAACTCGAAGAAGAGGCGGCCGAACAAGACGTGGAGTCTGGAGGACATGCCGCTAGGGACACCGAGCCATAGGGCTCAAAACGGGAGTTCAAACGAAATAAGGTAGATATACCACAGGTTTTAGGAGAAGATTGTTAGATAAAACCTGATTTTTTTCCTTATTTAGATTCACACGATTACGTTAATTCCCCGTTTGACCATTTGACAAACACGTCGAATGGATTAACTAAGTTTTAGACGGCAATTTTGTAGGAAGTGGCACAGATTCAGTTAACTAAGTTTTAGACGGCAATTTTGTAGGAAGTGGCACAGATTCAGTTGCCACTCTCTAGCCATTTTTAGGATAGGTTTTATTTAAATAGGAAATTTGTTCAGAAGATTTCACAATGATATTTGGAGCGCAGTCAAAATTTCATCATTCTCTCTCTCTGTTATTTTAAGCATTTTATTTTCTTCCAACAACCTCCTGTCGACAATTTCCTCTCACCGAAAAGAAAGGATTTCCCTGGCGATTATCGAAATCCAACAGATCCCGACTCATTTACAATTCTAATATCAAATGAAGAGAAGTATCTAGGTCGAGCATTATGTGATTTGGGATCAAGCATTTATCTAATGTCGCTATCTATCTACAAAAAGTTTGATATTGGTGAAGTTAGACCAACTACAATCACCCTTCAACTAGCAGATCTTTCACTCATTCAGAAGGCAAAATCGAAGATATTCTAATTCAAGTGGACAAGTTCGTTTTTCCAATAGATTTTATCACTTTGGACTATGAAGCCGACCATGATGTACCAATTATCTTGGGGAGACCATTTTTGAAAATCGGAAGAACATTGACAAATATCCACAACGGAACTATAATGTTGACAATGAATGATCAACCAATAGAATTTAATATCAATGACAACATAAAATATCTAATAGTAGTAGAGGAATGCTCAGCAATTTACAAATTCACAGAGAATCCAACCGTAGATAGTTGGAAACACCAACAAGAAGAAGACATCAACTAGAATAATTGCACTAAACAACAGGCAGAGTTGGAGGAACTCAGAAAAGTTCTTGAATCATTGGAATTAGTGGAAAGAAAAAATTCATTAATGAAGTCATCTATTGAAAAAACATCCTTGAACTACATTTTAGAAGTAGAACTATTTGATATATGGGGATAAACTTCACAAAATTGTTACCACCTTCTGTCGGAGGGTTCCAAAGGAGCATCACTTCTTTGCCAATGGATAGCTGAAAAGATGAAAAAGAGAAAGAGGGAGCCCATCACAATTTCCAAAAAAATATATCAAGTTCCAAGTAAACAAAGTTATTTCTTTTTTATGCATGGGATAGTTAGTTTTAGAGTTTTAGTAAGAATGATTTTATTATAACTACACTTTTTATTTTAGTGGTTAGAATATTGTACTTATACCTTCTTTTCAAGTGTACCATTACCTTAATTAAACATGACCTACAAATTTTCTTTTTGGATAAATATGTTAATTTCTAACTTGCCCATAGTTGAGATTAAATTGTTTATATGTCTATTCTGAATTTTGCATTACCTAATTGTTACGTCTCATGTTAGTTTGCATACTCATTAAGGTTATGAGATAAAAGGTGGTTGTGGAAACACAAGCTATATACAATGAAGGTAATTTGTTTGAAGATTCATCATGGCTACAACATATTCCACCAAATGTAGAAATATTTTTTTGAAATTTGCTGTCTATTAGAAAAAAAAAATGATAACATAGATGACAACAAACAAGGAAAGAAAAAGAAAGGAACAACATAAATGAAAAATTTGTTGCAAAACTGTGTCAAAGTAGCATATGGCTGAAAAGAGAGATAAGAAAGAGGAGTTCTCTGTTTACACACCTGCTACAACTTTATTTGAATTACTTAGAAGCATGCATCCGTATTTTGTTGGGCTATTTTTGTTTTGTTATCTGCATATGATTTTGAATGATGTCTATATACATGCACCCTAGAAATGTGATTTTTTTAGATAGAGTAATACATCATACATTTTCGAATACGAGTGACGATGTTTTATGCAAGAATAAAGAATCCAATGTAAAATACCTCGGTGAGGTGAGAGGAGGGTTTCCTTAAAATATATATATATATATATAACTAAAAAAATATAACTAAAAAAAATTCAACGAAATTAAAGCTCAAATTGAAAGAATGAGTATTCATCGAAGTTGAGATGTGAATCCAATCTATTATAATTCATTTGAGTCAGCAAAAATTTTCATTATTCACTCAACCTCAGACAATTTCCCAACAAAAACAAGAACCAAGCACACATCAAGGTACCCTCAAGAATGATTCCACACCCGCACTAATATTCATTGAGAACAATGGTTAATGTGGTTCAACATGAAAAGAAAATCAACTTTCATAAGTCGAGCCTAATTGCACATTTAATTGAGTTATTTGGTAAAATTCCAAAACATTTATGCTAAACCATGATGCTATAGCAAATCATGAAACAAATTGCTGACGTTGATGCTGTTTCAATTCGGAAAGCAAACATTTTGGGGATGACATGGAAATTTTAATCCACATAAGCAGTTCGCCATTGACTACTTAATTAGAAACATCCTAGGCGAACAACTTATCCTTTCTCAACCCTAAATGGGAAGAAACAAAATAGACAGCAGAGGTCTCTACTGCTGTGAAACAAGAGAAAAAGAAGAACCCTAATCCAACAACTATTGATAGAAAAAGGAAAAGAATACCAAGAAGGATAGATTTAGAGAAGGAGGTGGACATGAGAACTCAAAGGAAGGAACTTCCATTGAAGGACAACAACAAAGCTTGATAACTCTCTAATTTCTTACTATCTTTTCTTATTCTATCAATTTTACATGATTGAGATGTAGGTTCCTCTGTTTAATTCAGTTTGTATGGAGAGCTGAACCTTATAGCAGAGACGAGAGAGTTTTATGTAGTTTAAGTATGTTAATGATGTGATTTTAGTTTATTAAAGAGTTGTTAATGATTTACATGTTTGTTTAGTTAGCCACTTCACATACATAGTTGTTCTTTATTAAGAAGAAGAGAAGGAGCATTGAAATTCTCTTTAATATAATACTCTAGTAACATTGCAAGGATACTAAATGTTGTTAGTGAAAGAATGAGTGATTGAATGGTTGATATGAAGATTATATAATGAAGAGCAAGAACGCTCTATATATATATACAGAGAATATAAAAGATATTAAAAAAAACTACCTAAAAATCATCTGGTAACATACTAGTAAACAAATTAAGACTAAATCTAATTAAAACTAAATCAACTCTTAACTATAAGGAGATTTAATCAGATATTAACTGACACAATCTAAACAAATATGTGATCTTTAATATTCTTCCTTTTTTAGATGCTGTGAACTCCAAGCCTTTTTCTGGACACCCATCTTACTCCAATTTTCTTTCTGTTTAGAGGTCGATCATCCAACTCCCAGGTTTTGTTTTTCTCGATCACCGAAAGCTCCTCCTCTGACAGGTGCATCATCAACCAAAACATCTTGTCATTCATCTTCAGACTCTTCTTGTCGTTCATCTTCAGACTCTTCGAACATGCTACCGAAGATTAAATTGTTTGGTGCATTAGAAATGTGATTCATCTTCGTTAGTTCTTCTCAATTCCATTGCTCATTTTCAGCAAAATGAACATCTCGCCTCAGAATAACACAACTAGTGTGTGGTTGAAAAACTCTGTAAGCTTTGGATATAATGTTATACCCAACAAATATGCCAGCTTTTGCCTTTTTGTCAAGCTTATCATGCTTGACCTGTGGAATGTAAGTGAAACAAAGACACCCAAATACTCTAAGGAACTTTAAAGAAGGTTTGTAACCATACCAAGCTTCAAATATGTCAAGTCCTTCACAGCTTTTGTTGAAATTCGATTTTGCAAGCACACAACAGTGTTTGCTGCTTTTTTCCAAAAACGTTTTAGAAGATTCTTCTCATTAAGCATGCATCTCATTATCTCCATTATGAATCTATTCCTCCTTTCACTGACGCCATTTTGTTGAGGAGTGTATGGTGTTGTCAATTGATGTTCAATTTTAGCCTCTTCATAAAACCTGTTAAAAGTTTATGAAGTGTACTCCTTGCCATTATCTGATCTTACAGTCTAAATTAAGCATGCACTTTCATTCTCAATTTTGGCTTTGAATTTCCAAAATACACCCACAACTTCTGACTTTGGCTTCAGCAGTAAAATCCAACACATTCTTGTTAGTTCCTCAATAAAAAAAATGTAATAAAGATTACCATTTAATGATGATGTTCGCTGAGGACCAGAAAGATTAGTATGAACCAGTTGTAGCTTTTTTGAGACTCTCCATGCCTGTTTAGGAAAGGGTTGTCTATGTTGCTTGCCAAAATTACAAACACGACAAGGAGACATGTCATCATCAATGTCAGCGAGTCCTTCTACCAGCTTCTTTGACTGCATCTGAAGCAAACCTCAATGATGAAAGTGCCCAATTCTTTTGTGCCAAATCTCAGTGGCACTAGTTCTGGATATAAAGGCCATCTTCTCTTTGTCCATCGCTTTGATCAAGCACTGCTTATTTTCAAACAACATTCTATAGCCTTTATCAAGTAACTGATCAACACTTAAGAGATTTTGATCAATTTTAGGTACAAATAAAACATCTGGAATAAATTTTGTACCTTCATAATTTGTTATAGCTACTGTGCCTTTTCCTTTGACTTCCAAGTGTTCACCATTGTCAATCCTCACTCTCTTGACTTCGGTGTCTCTTAATTCCTAAAAAAAAAAAACCTTGTCATATGTCATATGATTTGTGCACCTACTGTCAATCAACCAGCTCTCGCTTGATTCTTTGCTTGAGAAACAAGTGACCACAAACAATTGATCTTCTTCTTCTTGATCAACTACCTGTGCATCTACTTCTTTCACCTGTCCTTTGACTTTGCAGATCACATCTTCATGTCCAAGTTGATTGCATTTGGAGCATTTGGCGTCAGGTCTTCTCTAACACTTGTATGGTGGATGACCTTTCTTCTCACAATGGCGACAAGGTGGAAAGGATTTTTTGGAACCTCCTCCTTTTGTCTTCTGATAATTGACAGATCAGACTTCATTCGTCAATTGGTTTTTGAAAATTTTCTTGTTTTTATACCTGCTATTGTCTTGATGCGTGACATGTAAGGCACCTTCAATCACCCCTTTTTGCCTCTTAGACCTCAGGCTCTTGTGTTTGTAAAGCATTCAAGAGCTCTATAAGAAAAATCTTTGACAAGTCTTTGGTGTTCTCTAGAGTAGTAATGGTGGCTTCAAACTTCTCTAGAACAGTGACTAGCAACTTTTCAACGATCCTGGAATCATTTAACATAGAACCAAGCAATCTCACCTTGTTGGCAATGCTGAGAAGTCTGTCAGAGTACTCTTTCACTGACTCCGACTCCTTCATCTTCTGCAACTCGAAATCCCTAATCAAATTTTGGACTTTCATTCCACGAATTCTCTGTTAGATAAAAGCTATGGTTTTATTCACACGTTTCCTCAAATTTCGTTAGTTGTTTTTTTAACTTTTGAATATCTGAATTAACCTCCCCATTTAATGGAAGAGCGTATTTTTTGCTGACCATTTTGGCAACTTTGGGCTTGCGCCACTACTACTAAATTTAGGATTGGTTAGTTATTTAAACAGGTGGAATTGAATCAAATAACAACCATCGGGTCTTCAGCAAATATTTCTCTCTCCTTTTCTTTTCAGTTATTTTGTTCTTCGAAGAAGTTTTCCTTCGCCCGACTTTTACTCCGTCCAAGTTTTCTTCTTAATTGCCAGAAGTCAACAAGTGGTATCAGAGCCTGGTTTAATCCACCGGTGGTGTATCATTGCGGAGGAGCCAACTTTATCAACAGTCAAGTTGAATAGCTCAAGTGGTTAGAGCGTCGACCTAACAATACACAGGTCTTAGGTTGAAGTAGAAGAAAATGCAAAGCGCGAAAATACACAAATCGTGGGGTCCATCCCGAGTAGACTCTCTCACTCCTCCACGCCACCCCCATGTGCTGGCTTCTCCATCACCGCCATTAAGAGGTTGATGTTGTGAAGACGAACGTCGAGTTGTCATCGCTTTAAGGACGGCGAATCTGTCGATAAAAACTAGGTTCTGGTGTTTAAAACCATTCTTCTAATTAGGTGAAGAACAATCCTTTGAGTCTAATATAACAACAATAATGCGTGCATTGCGAATATCTTATCCATCTCTCCAGAAAATATTTTGAGTTCAATCCTTTGTTTTTTTTTCTCCACTCGGACCAATCCGCCTACTCGGCTTCGAAAAGGAGGGTCGTCTACTCCTCATTGAGGAAGAATGGCTTGCACGCCTAAAGCTCCGCGACAACACCGGCGAGAGCACCGGGCCCTCCAGCTGCAAAGGCGGTAAGAAGCCATGAAAATCTCGCGGGCGCACGCGCGGGAAAGAGGGGGATCAAAAGAACGAGTCGACCAAAGAGCCACCTGAGCAAGAACTGCTGGCGCAAGCTCAAGAACAAAGAGAAGGCCCATGTGGCTCGATCTGAGGAGGAAGAGCCGGCTCTTTTAATGGTAAGTTTATTGGTCTTATTCGACATCCCCAATTTTGATTCCAAATCTACGGAGGTGGATGTAATCGACGACGGCTTAATTGCTTCTCCGGTGAGCGTCGAACCCGAGGAAGAGGTCCAACTAGGTGTAGCAAAGGCACCAGCTAGGGAGCAAATTCAACTGAAGGAGGAGCGAGTGTTCACTTAGATCGGCGAGAGACGCTTAGATCGGCGAGACGGACGAACAGCATGAGCACCGACGATAGGTCCTCGACATAGGGACAACAAACCATATGACCGGGGCTTGATCCGCATTCTCTGAGCTTGACTCAGAGATTTGTGGGACGGTGAAACTCGGCGACGGCTCCGTCGTTGAGATCGAAGGGCATGGCACCATCCTATTCATCGGCAAAGGAGACGAGCACTGCAAGCTAACCGGCGTCTACTTCATCCCGAGGCTCAAGGCTAACCTTGTAAGCTTGGGTCAACTCGATGAGACCGGCTGCTTCATTTCCATCGAGCGCGGGCTACTCAAAATCTGGGATGATTGATGACGGTTGCTCACGCAAGTTCGGCGCATGACAAATCGTCTTTACATCCTAGAGTTGGAGATAGAGCAACCGGTTAGCCTCTCGGCCAGATTCGAAGATGTATCTTGGAGGTGGCATGCAAGGTATGGGCACTTGAACTTTCCTGCTTTACAAAAATTACACAAGGAGGAGATGGTGCACGGTTTGCCGGTAATTGAAGGCGTGAATAAGCTGTGTGACGAGTGTCTCATCGGCAAGCAGATGCGCACCCCCTTTCTGTCTCAAGCATCCTACCACATCGGTGAGCCATTAGAGCTCGTGCACGGCGATATCTACGGGCCCATCAAGCCAGCGACCTCAGGCGGCAAGACCCTCTTCCTCCTGCTGGTCGATGATAAAATCCGCTTCATGTGGCTGATCCTGCTGCAAGCGAAAAGTGAGGCGGCAGAGGCGATTAAGCGCATTCAAGCGCGACCGGAGGCCAAATACGGGAAGAAGGTGTGAGTGCTACGCACGGACCGAGGCAGAGAATTCATCTCAATGAGCTTTGTTAAGTACTGTGACGAGCTCGGCATGCAGCGACAACTAACGGCGCCCTACTCCCCCTAGCAGAACGGGGTGGTGGAATGCCAAAATCAGACCATTGTCGGGATAGCAAGGTCATTGTTGATGACAGTCGGGATGCTTGGGAAGTTCTAAAGAGAGGCGGTAATGATGGCAGTCTACCTCCTCAATCATTCACCAACGCGAAGCCTCCACGGGAAGATGCCACACGAGGCCTGATGCAACAAAAATCCAGTGGTACATTATCTCTGAGTGTTCGGCTATGTCGCATACATGAAGATAGCGCGTCCACACCTTGCCAAGCTTGTCCCACGGGGCTGAAGGTCATCTTCAGCGGCTACAAACCCGGGATCAAGGCGTACAGACTCTGTGATCCTGCGGGGGGAGGAGCTCACGAGTCTCGCGATGTCATCTTTGATGAAAGCACCTTCTGGTAGTGGAACGACATGATCAAGGCAGACCACAACCCAAATCAATTCACAGTGAAGTACTTCGTCACCGAGCCGGAAGAAGGAGGAGCACAGCATCAGGAACTGTCACTGCCGCCAGCAGCTGCACCCCTTGAACCAGTGGAGTTTGCAACACCACGGACTGATTCGACGCTGGATGCCGATCACGATGATGATCTGGTGGCTAGGTACCAGAGGGTGGTCGAACTACATGCCATCAACGCAGATGAACTGAACAACTTCGCCAAAGCAGAAAGGAACCCGTGCTGGCTGAAGGCAATGCAGGAGAAGATGACATCCATCATCGAGAACCAGACGTAGAGTCTAGAGGATATGCCACTGGGACACGGAGCCATATGGTTCAAATGGGTATTCAAACTAAAGTGTAACGAAAAGGGAGAAGTTGTGAAACACAAAGTCCGTCTGGTGGCAAAGGGCCACGTCCAGAAGCAAGAAGTGGATTTAGAGGAGGTATTCGCGCCGATGGCAAGGCTGGAATCTGTCCGCCTATTGCTGGCAATCGCGGCCCATCATTCCTGGGAAGTCCACCACATGGACGTGAAATCCGCGTTCCTAAACGGAGAGCTGAAGGAGACCGTCTATGTTCGACAATCATCGGGCTTCCTGGGTAACGACAACCCTGACAAGGTATTGCGTCTGCACAAGGCACTCTATGGCTGTAACTAGAGGCTTGGGTGTGAGATACTGCGCAGGGAGAGAAAAGGAGAAGCTTGAGTTGGTCGACTAATGTGATAGTGACATGGTCGGTGACGTTGATGATCGTAAGAGCACCAACGGGATGATTTACCTCCTTTCAGGCGACGCGATCTGCTGGCAATCAACAAAATAAAAGGTAGTTGCTTTGTCTTCCTGCAAAGCAGAATACATCGCTGCTTCGACGGCGGCAACATAGGGGGTCTGGTTTGTGTGACTGATGGAAGAACTCATCGGAAGAGAAAGCGATCCACCAATGCTATACGTGGACAACAAAGCTACGATCTCCCTCATCAAAAATCTAGTTTTACACGACTGGAGCAAGCACATAGAAATCAGATTCCACTACATCCGAGAATGTGCAAATCGAGGGCTCATCAAGATTGATTTCATTCCAAACAGAGGAACAGCTTGGAGACATTTTTCCCAAGTCCCTGGCACGGGTAAAATTTGAGGAACTACGCCCAAAGATCGAAGTTCAAATAATAAGGTAGATATACAACAACTTTTAGGAGGAGATTGTTAGATAAAAGCTATGGTTTTATTCACACGTTTACTCAAATTTCGTTGGTTGGTTTTTTTACTTTTGAATATCTGAATTAACCCTCCCCGTTTAATGGAAGAGCGTATTTTTTGCTGGCCATTTTGGCCAACTTTGGGCGCAAGGTTTGTGCCACTGGATAGGTTTGTTATTTAAATATGTGAAATTGAATTAAATAACAACTATCGGGCCTTTAGCAAATATCTCTCTCTCCTTTTCTTTTCGGTTATTTTTTTCTTCGAAGAAGTTTTCCTTCGGCCGATTTTTACTCCGTTGACGTTTTCCTCTCAATTGCCAAAAGTCAACATCCTCTCATCTCCTTCATATTAAGTCTTGAGATAATCGTAGATTTTCTTTGCTGTTTTGAGGGACATTATTTGCATGGAGATCATTTGAGATATAGCAGCAAATAGACAAGCTTTTGCGTTTGATTTCCTTGTCTTCTTTTTCTTCTGTACTTTGATTTGTGCTATAGTAGGATTTGCTGGAAGTGGGGAACTCGTAATCCTCTTCTATTGCTTCCCAAAGATCCAAAACCTCCAGATAAGTCTCCATACGAACTGCCCACATTTGATAATTGTCTCCATCGAAGACTGGTAGTGCAACAGCTGAAAAATTGGATTCTCCTCCCATTTTGATCTTACATATCCCTTAAGAAGATAGCTCTGATACCAATTTGTTAGTGAAAGAATGAGTGATTGAATGGTTGATATGAAGATTATATAATGAAGAGCAAGAATCCTCCAAAAATCTGGTAACAAACAAGTAAACAAATCCAGATTAAATCTAATCAAAACTAAATCTAATCAAAACTAGATCAAATCAAAACTAAATCAACTATTAACTATTAAGGATATTTAATCAAATATTAACTGACAACAATTTAAACAAATACGTGATATTTAACAAATGTAATAGAAGGGTTAGGACTAATTCCTTTCCTGGAGTCTTGTTAATAGAAATTAAAAAACGATTATGGAAGTAATTAGCATGAATGACCTTCCAAAGTGGGCATGAGAATCTATTAAATGTAACTAAAATCCACCACAAAGTTCAACATTTTAATCTCTCTTAGCCAAACGTTCCTCATTCAACATTTTAATCTCTCTTAGCCGAACGTTCCTCATTATTGTAATTTACTCATTGTTTTTATATTTATGTTTAATTAGTACAAAAAATAAACCAGGCTCATTTGAATGATACTAAAAAACTAACTTAATTTCAAGCAACAAAAGTAATAAAAAAAGGTACGTTCTATATGGAATCGATAATTTACTTATTACTTGCTACTTGTGATAGTGTATACTTGCACTTACTTATTACTTAATACTTGTGGTACTGTAAGTACTGGGGATGATACTAACCTTTGTTTTAGATCTTTGAAACTTGCCTCACATACGTCACTCCGTACGAAGGGTACGTCTTTCCTTGTCAATTGTGTAAGTATTGAGGCTATTCTAACGAAGTCTTTCACAAATTGCCGATAGTATCTTGCTAACTATGCACCTCTGTAACTATGGTCGGACGTTTCCACTTAGTGACAGTTTCAATCTTAGTGGGGTCTACTGAGATTCCATCCTTTGACACCACGTGTCCCAAGAATGAGACTTGTTGTAGCCAAAATTCACACTTGGAGAATTTAGCGTATAACTTGTTCTCTCTTAAAATGGTTGGGACTTTTTGGAGGTGTTTTTGGTGTTTTGGATTCGTCTTTGAGTAGACCAGGATGTCTTCTATGAACACGATAATAAACATGTCAAGATACTCCTTGAATACTTGGTTCATTAACTCCATGAATATCGTTGGGGCGTTTGAGAGGCCAAACTACATTACTACAAACTGGTAGTGGTCGTACCTTTTTCTGAATGTTGTCTTCAGCACATCCCCTTCTTTAATCTTAATTTAATGGTATCTTGACTGAAGGTCTACCTAAAAAAATATTGTCGCTTCCCTGAGTTTGTTGAACATGTCTTCAATAGAGGGAGCGGGTACTTATTCTTTACTGTCCTCTGATTAAGTTCTCCTTAATCGATGCACAAATGCATTGAACAATCTTTTTTGTTGACAAATAGCACCAGCGCAATCCAAGGAGATATGCTAGGGTGAGTGAAGCCTTTGCCTAGTAAGTCAAAATAAAATGGGACATATATTAATGAATACGTAGAGCCAAAATTTGTTAAAATAAAACTCACTAATCTGTGAAGTAAATCTCACAAAAACTAACGATAGAACGCTCCGATGCCACATTGTGAAAATACTACTCACGTATTTGGGAAGGAGCTGTCGAGAGAGGAGAGACAAGTAGACAAAGAACACTGATTTTATTAGAAAAGTCTTTTCTATTACTCTGTATTCCTTTTCTCTCTAGCTCTCTTTTGCTCCCTATTTTACAAGAGAAGGATTAGGTATTTATAACTTTTCTAACACTAATAATAGGTACGAGAGAGACACCCATAAACCTAAAATTATTCGTACAAAAGCTCTTGACCTTTTACTTTTCAAATTAACCCCTCTTAACAAATTACCTAAAATTAACATTTTGCATTTTAAGTTTATTCCAACAAAATGCCCCCATTAACTTAAATGCTATATTCAATGATTCCACCTGTGTCATTTTTGTTTTCTCGAGCTCAGTCATGGTTTTTTCAATTTCCTCTCCTTGTCCTCAAGTAGCAAACTAAGCTTGTCCTTTTCTGACGAAACTTCATTTGGAGCTTCTCAAGGACAGCCCATTTGAGACATCAACTCCTCATTTCTCCCGTTCTCAGCCATGCTTGACTCAGACGTCATAGCTTATTTCAGTTTACTCAATTCCCTTTGCAAGTCCACAATGACATTTTCCACTTCCATTTTTGTGTCCTCCATTTTGACCTTATCACAAGTGATTATCTCAATCGTGTGTCGAAATTCACTGCCAACTATTGGACCCGATTCAAATTCACATCGAGTGAGTCTCTCTATTGAGTTAGCATCTCTACATCTTTCTCCTCCCTCACTAGCTCTTCTACTAGACCATCAATCTTCATTAATAAGTCATTCTCTTTCTCCACACTTTCTTCAATTTTCTTCACAAGCTCAAAGATTACCTTCCCATTCTCTTCCTTCTCCTGTTTAATATAGAAAGAACTCTCACTCAGCTCGGTCACTTCCTTCTCCAACCTTTCAAGCTCCATTTCTAAATCTTTCTTTTCTTTTTCAATCTCTACTTTCTCTTTCGAAAGGCGCTCGTTCATGGATTTCAACATCTGCAACTGAGACTTCTCCACAGATTTATCCACGACAGATTTTGGTTGTTGCTTTGAATCTCTGTTTTCCTCCTGATGATCCAGCAGTTTCTTTGGCTCGTTCACTGATCGCATGGACTTCTTCTTCGTCATTGTTTTGGGATTTTGAAGGGATTGCAGCTTGCATTTGCATCATCTGTTTCTCATGTTCAATCTGCATTTCTGCCATCCTTTCTCTCCATTCCATCTTTTCTTCTTTCATTCTCATCCTCTTTCTTCTTTCTTCCTCTCTCTTCGAGCTCAAGCTCTCTGTTATCCAGTTGTTCATCCTTCTTCGATTTTCTCATCTCCGATATCGCGATTTCGCCAAATCCACTGTGTGTCACCTCATTTCCAACGGCTTCCACCGCCTCACGACTACCGCCATTGTCTTTCGCTCCGCCGTGTTCTCTTTATTTTAGTTCTTCATTTTGGGCCATCAAGAGAATACCTTCGTTTGTTGCGTCATCCAGAGCTAGGTTGATCGTTTCTTCCACCTTCTTCTCAGCTCAACAATTTTTTGCAAAGTGCCCCTCTCTACCAAAATTGTAACATTTGTCGGAGTTACAATCATTCGCATAGTGACTATATTTTTTACATTTATAACATTGAATGTTGTTATAATATCCTTGACTACATCCTCTTCCACGCCAATTTGCTTGGCTCGACTGTCACTTCTCCTGCCTTGACCACCTCGACCATTTCCGTGACTTCCATGACCTTTACCTTGAAAGTTTTGAGAGTAGAATACCTTTTCATCTTTGATTGATGTCTTGGTTTGAAGTGCTTGATCGAGTGTTTCCTTATTCTTTTTCTTACGTTGCTCATGTGCCTCGAGAGAACTGGCGAGCACATCGACCATGAACGTCGCTAGGTCCTTTGACTCTTCTATCGCACATACAACATTCTCAAAGTTGTCAGTTAATGACCTCAAAATCTTCTCCACAACCCGCGTCTCGGCTAACATTTCTCCACTTCGATTTAGTTGATTTACCACAGTTTATACGCACATAATGTAGTCAGATACATTTTCTGACTCCTTCATCTTCATGCTCTCCAACTCGCCATGAAGAGTTTGGAGACGCACTTGCTTGACTCGGTCGGTTCCTTAGAACACCTTTTCTAAAGGGTCCCACGCTTCTTTTGAAGTAATTTCCCTGACAATCTTCTCAAAGTCAGATTCGTCAATGACTCGGAACATCATGTATAATGTCGCCTTGTCCTTTGATCGCAACTCTTTTAACGCCTTGTTTTGTTCCGTCGTATAACCCATGGTATTCTTTGGTTCTTCGAAACCTTCTTTAACCATCTCCCATGCATCTTGAGAACCAAGAAGAGCTTTCATTTGGATGCTCTAATTCTCGTAGTTCGTCTTCGTTAGTCGCGGTAGCGGCATTTGACCTAATCACATTCGCCATCGACTCTGATACCAATTTGTTAAATAAGACCCACTGATTTGTGAAGTAAATCTCACACACACTAACGATAGAACGCTCCGATACCACTTTGTGAAAATACTACTCGCGTATTTGTGCTGAAGATGTCGAGAGAGGAGAGACAAGGAGACAAAGAACACTGATTTTATCAAAAAAGCCTTTTCTATTGCTTTGTATTTCTTTTCTTTCTCTTTTGCTCTCTTTTGCTCTCTATTTTACAATAGAATGATTAAATATTTACAACTTTTCTAAAAGTAACAATAGGTATGAGAGAGACACCCATAAACCTACCATTATTTCTCCAGAGGCTCTTGGCCTTTTCTTTCACCTGACTTTTCAAATTAACCTCTCATAACAAATTACCTAAAATTAACATTTTGCATTTTAAGTTTATTCCAATGAAATCAAATAGAGCGAAAGCATAACGTCCCAGAATTGATAATGTACCTATCACCACTGTGTCGGACCTCCTAGCATCCCTACTGGTTGACGCATATGCCCTTACTTGAGAAAAAGTCTTCTCAAGTCTATCAGTCCCATCCAGTGTTCTTGGTGGGCTAACTGGGTTCTCAGTATTCTTAGTTGTGAAGTTGATAGCAATGTGGCCCTCGTAGCCACACAGAAAGCAAGTTCTAGTCTTGACCATACATCTTCCCCCAGTGGCTTCCCATATATGTCGCACCCTGATCCTCCTCTTCCTCTGGCCCCATCTTGGTTTCTGGGGTATTTATTAGTTGTCAAGGAGAGTACCTATCAGTATGTCGAGGGAGGTGTTTGTCAACCTACCGAGATTTATGCTTTTGCCTAATAGTAACTGCTGACTCTCGAAGCACTTTATCTCTAGGCTTCTCTAGAACCTTAGCTATCCTTAGTGCGGCCTCATTAGTGGTAGGGTCGATAGTTTCTACCGTGCGACGAATCTTTAGGTCCAAGCCCATTACAAACTTCTCAGTCATTTTTGACTCCGTGTCCACTAGTGCGGGTGCAAATCTTTTCAGTCTCATGAATTCTTGGGCGTGAAGCTTTTTAGTCTCATGAATTCTCAGGCATAATCATTTACAGACGTCCACACTGTATTAAGTTGGTGAACTTCTATTGTTTCTTGAGCTGGGCAACTTTCGGATAGTACTGCTTCAAGGTGGGGATGCACGACCTTCATGAATGTGACGCAGCCGAACACTCAGAGATAATGTACCGCTGGCTTCTTATTGTACCAGGCTTCATGTGGCGTCTTCCCATCGAGGCTTCGCGTTGGCGATTGATTGAGGAGATAGATGACCGTCATTATTACCTCTCTCCAGAACCTCCCAGGCATCCCGACCAGAACCCCGTTCTGCTGGGGGGAGTAGGGCACCGTTAGTTGCGGTTGCATGTCGAGCTCGTCGCAGTACTTACGGAAGCTCGCTGAGGTGAATTCTCTACCTCAGTCCGTATGCAGCATTCGCATCTTCTTCCCGCATTCGTTCTCCGCTCGCGCTTGAATGAGCTTAATCGCGTCTGCCGCCTCACTTTTCGCTTGTAGCAAGATTAGCAACATGAGGCGGCTTATGTCATCGACCAACAGGTGGAAAAGGGTCTTGTCGCCTAGGGTCGCCAGCTTGATGGGCCAGCAAATATCACCGTGCATGAGCTCCAACGGCTCACCGGTGCAGTAGGGTGTCTGAGACAGAAAGGGGGTGCGCCTTTGCTTGTTAATGAGACACCCGTCGCATAGCATGTTCTTGCCTTCGATTGCTGACAAACCGTGTACTATCTCTTCCTTGTGTAGTTTTTGTAGTGTAGGAAAGTTTAGGTACCCGTATCTTGCGTGCCACCTCCAAGCTACTTCTTCAGTCCTGGCCGAGAGGCTGATCGGTTGCTCTATCTCTAACTCTAGGATGTAAGGATGGTTTTTCGTGCATCGAACTTGCATGAGCAGCTATTATAGATCATCGTAGATTTTGAGTAGCGCACGCTCAATGGAAATGAAGGAGACGGCCTCATCGAGTTGAGTAAACCCAAGCTCACAAGGTTAGCCTTGAGCCTCGGGATGAAGTAGACACCAGTCAGCTTGCGGTGCTCGCCTCCTTTGCCGACGAACAGGATGGTGCTGCACTCTTCGATCTCAATCACGAATCCCCGAATCGAGCTCAGAGAACGCAGACCTGGCCTCGGTCATATGGTTTGTTGCCCCTATGTGTCGAGGATCCATCGTCGGGGCACTCTAGCACATCCAAGCCGCATCGAGCTTCGCCACACCATCTGAGTGTAGTGCCCACATTCACCACCCACACATTTATTCAACGCATGATCATACAGCGGCTTCTCGTTCAACCACAGGTTCACAGCATCCTCCCCAGTGAACTCAAGGTAGTAGCCCGCAGTTATGTTTTCGCCGTACGGCCCAGTTGAGTGAACCATGGCGCAGTCACCCTTTCTTTTTTCCGCATAGGCTTGAGCATAGGCGAACACGGTGTTGCTCCATTGCATGGGGCCGACGTCGACCTGGGCTTGAGCGCGGTTCAAAATAGTAGTTGAATAGGTTCAATTTTTATATTAAAAAAATTATTTTTAAAATTTGGAGACTTATTAGACACCTTTGAAATAACAAATTGTTAAACATTTTCTTATCCTACTCTTTTCAAAGTTTAGGAATATGTATGTTTTTTTCAAAGTTTAGGTTGCGGCAGTGGGCGTTCGTCTCCGGTGTGGGTCTCATAGTGTAGCGGAGTTAAACGCCGTCGTGCATCCCTCGATTTGGAGGCCGAAAACACTGTGGACTGGTTTTTCGCATCTGTGCCGAGGGCATTTCTTCCCGGTGACTTGGAACAAGAATTGGCTAGTGGCTGGTGTTCTCAGTATTGAAGATTGTTCGGAAATGATCATAGATTTATAACTAAAGAATACATTTTCATTAACACGACTTTCGTGTTTAATTAAGAGATTTTTGTTTGGATTAAGTTCAAATAAATGAAAATTTTCTAGATTTAGCTAGTTTATGAATTTTTTTTAGGATTAATGGAACTTAATCTACCAAGATTATGGTTAATCTTAAAAATACATTTTTTACTTGCCATGTCGATATATATTTATTGCTTTATTTTATTTTATTTTATTTTATTTATTCTCCAACCACTTTTTTAAATATATATTAAAATTTAGTGGCTTAATTAAAGGTTTGAAAATAAATAAATAAGGTTAATATTCTACTTAAAGTTCTGAGTAAATGAAATAAACTAATTTAACCAAAAAATTTGATGGTCGAGTTAAATTGAATTTATTATATTACGAGAATTTCTTAGAAATATTTATGACTAACTGAGTTATGGATTTTTGTATTTTTTTTTCTTTTCTAAAAATAGATGTAAATTAAAACATAGATAAGTGGATGAAACAAACCACCAACCTAATTTAACATTTAGTTATATTCACTTTACCATTATTATAAAATAATAATAATAATAACAACAACCTTAGAGCAATTAGTTAAAATAAAAATTATTTATAAAATCCATTTTATAACTAATTGAATTCCAACCTATATTGTAAATTCCAATCCAATAAAATTTCTCAAATAAAATAAAGTTTTCATTTCAGAAAATTAGAGAATTAATTCTGTCTTTGACTTCCATAGATCTTTAAAAAAAAAAAAAAATCATGAAGTGAGAAAGAGCAGAATTTGAACATCTCCACTCTCAA